AGACCATGAGTGAAGTGATGGCAAAAAGTACGTAAAATGGGTTAGTGATTTCTAATTTGGGCAGAATAGGATCTGCTACTTCTCATGTTCACAAAACTGCTGAGTTTATCTACCATTTCTTTTTACTTAGTATAGTCGTAAATAAAATCTATGGTGTTCATAGAAACAATTACTGATAGTTTCTTTGGTCATTAGGATGTGGCATGGTAATATGACTAAACTGCTTAACCTTAAGGTTTTTCTCAAAGAAACTCCTCTGCTAGGCAAAACCTCTGTAAAATATATGAAACAGACTTCTGTAACAAACGTTTGGTAAACAAGTAACATTATTGCGTAGAAATAAATATGTAATGGCTCAAAACTTTCTGTAATAGGAAAACTTCCAAAGTCTTAGCAACTTTCCCTTTGTTTTGAGGCCTAACAGATGAGAACAGTGAGAAGAGAGTCATCTAGTCCTTTTAGTAATCATGGACACAGGACTTGCAGCAACTGATTTGAAAAAAACCAAGAAACTACCATGCAGCAGCAATGTCTCTCTGTTGCTGTTAGCAAATGAACTGTATTTATTTTGTCGATTCTTAGCAAAGAGGTAATGGCAAGGTGAAGATTTTGTGTAGCAGAGTGGGAGATAGTGGGAAGTGTCTTTCAAGCAAAATGGTTTCAAAGGTTAAAAGTAAATGACTCTCCACTTACATGTGTTTGTCTGTATATATGTAGAAAAAACACTGGACAGTGAAAAGTTAATATAAGGAGAGAAGTTTGGATAAAAATATAAACATGGAAACAGGAGAGTTCTAAGTAGAGATAAGAAGGGTGATATTTGAAAACTGTGGAAGTGAATGAGGAGATGTTGTTAGAAGCAAACAAAAGCCATCTTGTATTGGTAGAGCTGCTAGTACGTAATGGCCAGGGGACTTACGTAAGTAAACTGATTATACTTGCATCTTGTCTAAATATCACCAGACTGATGAACAGTTGAAACATCTCGGGTTTGATGTCGTCTTTGGTATGAAACACATGGCAGCTTTTTAGGACATTCTTCCATATTACATCTATATTTTGAGCTTATATTGGAATAAATAATGCATTGTAAAACCTTGTTAAAAACATACTGAAGGAGAACTTCTTTAGTACAGACCAGTACTGGACTTCTTCCACGCTCGTGTATACAGTTTTTAAGGTATACCAACTCTAAGACAACCTGTTTTTTTTTCCTGGTGTTGGCCAGAAGAGAAAAGAATTATACTTTGCACTGTTAGCCTCTTATCTATCATTAGTAAATTGGTCAGATAATGATGGTTGCCTTTTATAGGACCTTTCTTAATTCTTTGAGGTGTATTGGCTACAAGTTAGGTTGGGATCTTTGAATACACATAGCAAATGAACATCAAGGTGAAGGAAATGACCAAGTGATGCAAAAACTTTTAAGGATAACTTACTAATTATGTAATGTTCCACAGCTCATTCCCATTTTATTTACTTATGTGGCTTGTTAGGTCCTATCTGTAGTTGATGGGTTTCGTAAAGATGTACTGACAAATCCTACTTGTAAATTAAATCCAAAAGAAAAGATTTTTTGATTAATTTTTTCCCAATTCTCTTAAAAAAATCATTCCATCTATATCTGTCCATTGAGACTGAGTGTCATTTCTCTTTCCTATGATGTAAACTTTTACCAGTGTTTTGTCGCAAAATAGATGGTAGTTCAAGAATTATGTTTATGGGGAAGAAAAAAGTAGTTAGACGTTGAACAATTTAAACATCTCATAGTCACCAAGTTAATGTGATACCTGTTTTTTTGATTTTTGTTTTGGATATATTCATACACAATTTAAAATTGGCTGCAGTTGCTACCTTTTTCTGACAGGAGACTCTAAAATAATAAATTTGTAGAGTTAAAGTATTTAAAAATAATGAACTGTAACTTTAATTGGTAGTACCACTGTAATCCCAGTAATAGGTTTTCGAGTTTCTTTTTTCCCCCAAGAGAAAGTTGGGTAGTCCTTCTTAACTGTAAAGATGGGAAAAGGGGAGCCTTTTAAAATTGGCTGGGGAAAATGGAGAGAACTTTCTTAGAAAACAGTTGGCTGTGGTCAAAGGTTTAGAAATGACTGTCGCGTGTGTTTTGGCTTATCGTCCAGTATTCTTCTTGCCTGAAGAGTTTTCAAACATGACGGTGTTTTTTAAAAGCAGTTGACTAGTTCAGTAGTTTGACAGATAAATCCTTAAGAGCCGAAATAATACCAAAGTCACAAAATTTGAATCTGCTTCCCAATTAAACAGCTTTCTTTTTTTTTTGTTTTTTGTATGTTTCTAACTGTATAAATTGAATAGCAGTGGTCAAGAAAATTAAAGTTGTCCCAGTAGGATTCTGCTTTAGGGCTTCATTTTGTTGTTTTTAATAAGATTTTTTAAAAAATTCATTCACATTTTACAGTAATTTAACTTGTCCTTTGATCATAGTATAAAGGAAAGTGACGACATGGCACAAATTTAGCCATCCATCTTCCAAATGTCTCTGCAGAGGACTTTCGCAAGCAGTAAATAAAGGGGTAATCATGACTAACTGGAAAAAGATTCCTGTGTGTTTTTATAATGGTGAAAGTATTTCAGCTGTTGGGAAGATGCTAAGATTAGGGGAGAAAGAAGTGCTAACATGAAAGTAAAGTGGCATAAAATGTATGAGAGGCTTATGTAAAGTGAGTGATGGAGCGGTCACTTGGAAAAATTGCTTGTTCTGGTCACTAGAAGTGTTCTTCCACTATGCACACACCCACCATCCTGGATGACAACAATAAAATTAGTATCTAAAGAGCAGGTTGTTTCTGTAAGTCTCTTGAAGGGGAGGAGAGGAGGGAAGAAGGTAAGGGGGGTGGGGAAGGATAAACAATTTTGAGCCACACTGAGTTAAGTGGAAGAGGAACAGTGGTATAAACATAAAGGTGTGCTAGTTGAGGCGTGCCACAAATGGGAGAGTTAGCACAGACAGAGCTCTTGGCACATGAGCAGAGGGATTTTTAGAGAGAAGACACACCTAGAGTTCCTCTTTTATGAGTAGATGAATGCATCATGATCATCCATCTGTATACTTAAGGGAAATAGGATTGTACAACATCCTAGAACAATGTACTTTATTACCATTTTTCATAGTTTTTACAGCCACCTTTGCAAATTCACAGTTTTTAGTATTTGCAAAAGACTACTGTTTGGCTTTGAAAATCCCAGAAAAGTATTGGTGTTGTCAAAAACTAGAAGTATTAAACACAAAAAATTGACAATGTGACTTTCTTAATGTATTTTGACGCTTCTTATCGTGAGTTTTCTCAGTTTCAAAGTATGTAACTATATCGCACGTTCTGTAACTGTGAGTTGTTATGCCCTGTGGTGATTGATGTCTGCAAACAGATACGGAGATCAATAATGCCCATAACTCCATGCAGCACACCACTTCTATACTGAGTGAATACCATAACAGATGGAGCCCAAAGTCATAGACCAAATGACCTCAATGAGCATTTTATGGGTATTTATGTACATAGTACAGACATTTTATGGGGGAAGGGGTGGTTAATGAGGATATGTTGTGATAGCATGAGACCTGAGCATGACGTAAATGATATGCAATAAGGGGTGGAGAATGTGATGGGTTTGGCTAGGATAGAGTTAAATTCTTCATAGTAGCTTGTATGGGCCTATGTTTTGGATTTGTGCTGAAAATAGTGTTGATAACACGCTAATGTTTTAATTACCACTTGAGATGCTGTGCAAATTTTAGTTGTCAGAACTTTTACCACTTAAGTCCAGTTAATTTGTCACTTTCAGTTGGGCGCTATCTCTTAATATATATCCAGCTATACAGCAGGGGAGGGATTGGAGCATAGACCCTCAAGCGTGTCCTTCATGAAAAAGCATCCTGTAGTTCACACGTTTCTTCTGTTAAATACAAACTGCTTATTGTTACATTTAAAAACCCTTCTAAACACACCTTCTGTCTCTTCGTGTTGCTTACCATTCATTTCCAGGAGGTTTTGAACGAAAAAATAGTAAGAAATATAAAGAAAAGGCATGGTCTTCATTGTGGAATTCCTGCATTTGCCAATGTGCCCTGGTTTATTACGTTTAATCACCTGTGTGTTGGGGGCAGATGTATTTTTGTAAATCACAGGCTATTCTTGATAATTATCTGAAAAACTGATGAAGTATTGCTAAGATTATCTTCAATGTCACCTGTAAGAAAAGTTATTTTTAAAAAGTCATCTTTCCTATACAGAACCTTAAAATAAATCTTATCTGATCTCGTCTCGAATAACAGCTGCTCAGGAAGCAGGGTTTTTTTTCTGGTTTTGGTGGAGGCTTCTGTCTTTTGGTTCGCAGCTTATGCTAAAATCTCAACCAATCATCTAGCTTCAAACAGTGGAGACAAGCCAGAGTGTTTTGCTATGGCAGGAATAGAAGAGTCAAGGTCATCTGCTAGAATATTGCTCCCTTTCCTCTCCTCTGAACAGTACAGAAAAGTAACTTTGACATGAGATGTTGTCACGGTATAAATTCTTGACGCTATTCTCCTTACGGCAGGGAAGGTAGTGCGCGCTGTCAGTAAATTAAGTTCAGTAATATAGCCACAGAGGGTTGTGTATTGATATTTAGAAATACAGCTCTTCCTAGTGAATCAAAGGAGCATGCATTTGTATGTTAAGTAGTTCTGTGGCTCAGCTGTTGTTTACAGTTTGGTAGCTATGTATAACTAGTACAGCCAGAGCAGTCTTAGGGAGTATACATATTTAAAACAAATGTATGCCATTAGGTTAACGTAATATTCTTTCTTCAACCCTTTAACTAGCGTATTAATTTGTAAAAATGCTACATGGCCAACTGTTGAATGTTCACAGTGCAAATCTTTGACCTGTTTTCTAAATGCAAAGAGACCGTTACGTTCTGCTCGACTGCCCCTCTCAAGATACGTTCTTATTATCTGTATTTGTGTATTGATTTCTAGGTTTCTTTATTCAGATGAAGTTCAAATTGGTCCAGAAACAGTCATGACTACTTTATACACTGCTAAAAAATATGCAGTCCCAGCCCTGGAAGCACATTGTGTGGATTTTCTAACGAAGCACCTCCGAGCAGATAATGCCTTTATGCTGCTTACTCAAGTAGGTAAATTTAAGCTTAAGTTTTTTTAAGTTTTGATTTACTAGGAAAGTCAGTATTTGGAGGGAACTGACTAAATATTACTTCACAGTGAGTTTGCTATCACATGGTCTAATTTATGTATGCAAATGTCTTGTTGTTCTATTAGCATTTTTAGACGTAGCTTCTAATTAATGTGGAAGAAAGGCCCTTCCTTTGCCCCTTCCTTTGCCCCTTCCTTTGCCCCTTCCTTTGCCCCTTCCTTTGCCCCTTCCTTTGCCCCTTCCTTTGCCCCTTCCTTTGCCCCTTCCTTTGCCCCTTCCTTTCTTTTTTTTAATATGCAATGGACTGGGACATTTCAAATGGAGCCAGCTTATTCTACAGTGTAGAATATAGTATAGAATACCGTATAGAAAGTACATGTGTACTTTTTTTAGTTATATTGCCAAAACTACAAACAAGCATGAAGGAAAACTTGCATGGAGTGAATTCTCCTTAGTTATATACTCTTTTGAGAATTTAAGTGCTCTTTAAGGTGTAAACATGAAGAGTACTTAGACAAATCGACCTATTTTAATTTAGATCTGTACTAGACTAAAAATACTTGATTTTGAAGATTAGTTGTTTGTCAACGTTATGCTGAAGATGTATCTCTTTACCTTTTTAGGCTCGTTTGTTTGATGAGCCTCAGCTTGCTAGTCTTTGTCTTGACACAATAGACAAAAGTACTATGGATGCAATAAGTGCAGAAGGCTTTACTGATATTGACATAGGTAAGTTACTTGGGGTGTCCTAAGCATTAAACTTCTGAAGGGAATTGTAGGGCACGAAAAGACTGTGTTATGGTAACCCAGGATAGTTTGCCTCCCCCATCCGAGTACATCTTATCTCCTTGTCATGGTAACCTGGGGTTGTTCACTTTCCCCCTCATCTGAACCCACCTTTGTATGGGCGGCAGCAGGACAGCCAGCTGTGGTTCTTGGACAACAGCACCTGCATTATATCAGCAAGTTTGCTAATGAGCAAAACGGGACATTGCATATGTATGATATGTTAATTAGTGCAAGTTTTATTATCCACCTCTGTAGTGCTTTCCTTTGAGCTTCACTCCTGAGCAGGGTTCCGCTGCGTTGGGTCCCCATTTGATTACTGTCAGTGTCCCAGAGCTCCCACTGTGTTAACACTACGCTTTCATTAAAGCCAAAGCTTTCACTTGCTGAGTGTTGTGCCTCATCCCCGAGGGTTCCACACCTACTTTTCATGTGTAACATGAAGCATACTGTTTTTTTGCTGCGTGGTACTACTTTATTCAGAGTTGCACAGATCAGGTACAAGTTATGAAATAGCTTTAAAAAAATACCTAAACTGCTGGTTTGTTTCATCTTTTATGAAAAGCTAGCAGTTGTAAATTTGCTTACTTAATTTCATTGTTACTATATGTGTGTAAGATTTTACTCCAGTTCAGCTAGACTGGGTGAAAAACTCAGACTGAAGGAAGGTGTTCCAGCTGCTTAAGGAAATTGTAGTCATTTTTAATATGTGTTCAGTGGGATCTGTACCCAGACTGTGCATGTTCATCTTTACTCTTGATCAGTACCAATCTGTTTTGACTTTCCAATATGATATTTTCTATGACTGCAAATATGCCGTGCTTAAATTCAGGGCATATAAAAATTCCCAAAGACGACAGAATATTCAGATTATGAAAACACTTTTTTTTTTTTTTAAGGCTTGTATTCTATGATAAACTGAGAATTTTTTCATACCTATTATTCATAAAATGCCGAAACAATAAGAAATATGGGAAAACTTGCTTTTGTAAAACATGGGAGAGTACCTTGCCTCACCTCCTGTGTTCCACCTTCAAGCTTTGTGGGTGGCAAATACGTCAATGTTTAAGATCACTTTCCTATATCTTTAAACTGGTTTTGTATGCACCACTGCTGCTTGTGTCTATAGTGCATCCAGATTGGCGGGTGGATGAGAATATGACAATGTCATCATGAATAACTTGTTTTTTTAGTAGTGTGCATTCACCGCTTGGTCACTTCCAGTTTTGGTCTTGCCCTAGCCATGGAAATTCTTTAGGATATTGGTTGTCACTACATAGATTATATATAGTCACACTCTTAGGAGTCAAGAAGGAAGTTCATACGCTGTCTTCAAAGCAGGAAAATTATTTTTTAATTTGGAGTCTATACACGATTGTGAGATTTCCTTACATGTAAGATAAGTTGTCTTATCTTTTATGTCTTATTATGAATGTTCTTAGTGTTTACTTAACATTTTAAGCTTATTTGATGTTTAGTACTGTTACTGGTTTGAATGAAAACTGATCTGTTAACTTTTTTTCTTTAGACACATTATGTGCAGTTCTAGAAAGAGACACCCTTAGTATTCGAGAAAGTAGACTCTTTGGAGCTGTTGTTCGCTGGGCAGAAGCAGAATGTCAAAGACAACAACTGCCTGTGACATTTGGAAACAAGCAAAAAGTCCTTGGAAGAGCTCTTTCCTTAATCCGTTTTCCATTAATGACTATTGAAGAGTTTGCAGCAGGTGAGTTTCGGGGTTCTTGGTCTTACCATTAGACCATATCTCTGCAGTGTTTAGATGCTTAACACTCTATTCTGTTATTGATATCATAGTGGTAAAAGCTGAGAGGCACAAATGAAAGCAAAACAATCTGCAGAATACGCTCTGGCCGTTGGAAAATATTGTCGTCTTCCATCTGCAAATACGTGTGGTGTAAATATAACAGTTGGAGTAATTCTTCAAACCATCTTAGAAGTTTTTTCTTTCCACAGGTCCTGCTCAGTCTGGAATCCTGTCAGATCGGGAAGTAGTAAATCTCTTTCTGCATTTTACTGTCAATCCTAAGCCTAAAGTAGATTATATTGACCGACCAAGATGTTGCCTTAGAGGAAAAGAATGCAGCATTAACAGGTTCCAGCAAGTGGAGAGTCGCTGGGGCTACAGTGGAACAAGTGATCGGATTAGGTATGGTTTTTGAAACTGTTTGGAGGAGAGACAGGGAAGTGTGGGAAGAAAGGGAATATATTACTCAACTTCAACTTTTTGGCATACGATACAGTAACAAACATGCTGGTTCTGTTTGGGCACATTTGATCATTTCCGCTTTTTAAAATAACTTAGGCTGTTGCGCACATAAAACACAAGGTAGCAAAGATCAAAGTTCAGGAGGATTGGGTGCATTCTAGAGTGATTGGGTGTTAGCTGCATATTCCTTTTTAAAATACCAAGTCTTCATCTGTTTTTATTTTGGATATATTCAAAAGAACCCGGTTATTTTTTGTTCAGTGATACTGAATATCTTGGGGGATTAGCAAAGCTTTAACTTATAAAGCTGATACCTTACAAAGCACTTTTCTTACTATTGAAATCTAAACAGAAAGTGTTACTGGGGAAAAAAAAAAAGCTAATGTAATTTTCAGTTTACTTCTCCATTCTTCAGTGGGAGTCTTTTTCCTACTTGACACAGTTGTTTAAATTACTTTCTTGGCTTGTGTTTTACTAGGTTCACAGTTAATAGAAGAATTTCCATAGTGGGATTTGGATTATATGGATCTATTCATGGACCCACAGACTATCAAGTTAATATACAGGTACAGTAGATTCTGTTTAAACAGGCTTATGCAGAAACTATGCTTGTAGTACTTGCAAAAGGTTTGGCGTATATTTGGGTACAAGCAATTGATAGGGCAAGTATCTAACCTGTGTTTTGTCCCCAACAGTAGTCATAAGCGGATGACTAGGGAAAAATAAGAACAATATGAAACTCTTGTGTTCTCCTGTCCTTCCATCATTTTCAGTATATGTGTTTCCCAAGACCGATTTGGTTTCTCTATTTAGTAGCTCCTGGTGAGTCTTTCTTCAGGATACTTGTCTGGTCTAACCTTGAATTCCTGTAAGCTTTTTGCAGAGGAATTTCACAGCTTTGTAATCTGTTCAGTTGTGCACAAAGTATGTCCTTGTAAAGTTTTTAGTAATTCCAGAAAGAGATAACCAGCAATCTGAAATCAGTGACACAACGTGTAGTCACTGATAAAAAAAGCCCGCTGTGCCATCAGGAAGCCCACTGTGCTCGTTTCATGTCTTCATGCTGTTTAGCCCACCAGAGAGTCTATAGGGCTTTTTGCTACTGCTGTGTTGAAAGAATGATTTCACGTTGGTTTTGATGCTTTCAGATAGCTGTTCCTAAACCTTCTTTTGGCCTGCTTAATTGTATTTTTTACATTTTAATCTGTCAGTTTGAACTTTTCTGTTTTACTCTGGATACAAGTTCATGATTCTATAGGATGTCCTTTTTTGTTTGTTTATTTCCAGTAATAGCCTTTTGCTGATCTGCCATGCCAGCTTTTTTCCCTGTTTCTCAAGCCTTTACTAATAGGTGATATGTACCAACACTGTACTTGGGCATGTGATGTCCTTCAGTAGTCTGCATGCTTCTTATAACAATTTGATTTTCTTAACTGCTCCTTTTAGCTTTTTTTGAACAAGCTTCCTCATTTTTCTCTTTTTGAAATTTAGCACAGCTGTAGTGGATTTGCTTTTGTTGTTCATGTGGGAGCGTTGACTCCAAGTATATTATAGACTCTGTTACATAGTGTTTCCATTATGAAATTTTGAATCTGATCCTGCTCAGCACTCAGTACCAAATCAAGGGTTGCGTTTCTTCCTACTGAGCAATTGGTTAGCAAGCTCACAAAATGGTCAGTGATAGCATCTAAAAATGTCAACCCTGCTTCATGTCCTGATATGACACTTGCCCGATCTGAACGGGTAATTGAAGACACCACTAAAATTGTATTTCCTGCTCTTGTAGCCTGTTTGATCTCTCTTAGCGTGTTGTGGTCAGGATTGCCTTCTAGTAATATTGATCCAGCACTGTATTTTTTTCCTTTTTAAGTATGGAATTTCAGTCAATTTGAATTCTCTTTCTTATCGAGATTAGTTTTTATTTGATTCTAAGCTTTCTAACAAGGTATTAGCATTCCGTGACTGGCATAGTTTTACTCTGTGCTGCGTATTTCGTAACCTGGTTCTATCCCGTCACATTGATATATTAAGCGTGTGGGAAATTTTATGAAAGAAAGAATCAGTGACTTCATTTAGGGACAGAAATCCCATTGTCTCTATCTTATTTCATAGATTTCTAGCATGTGCTGGAACTGCTGTTTCGGTTCATTTGTGGGAATCCTATTTAAATTACAGTTTATTTGTCTTCTGTTTCATATTACTGGATTAATCTGACCATCCTGTACTTAAGGATAGGAATTTTGTGTCTGTCTCTTCAGATAAAAATGTTGTGCCTTTCTTCTTATGATGTTCCAAACAGAATGTATCTGGAATGAGGTTTTGAAGGAATTTGTTGGCTTTTCCACATTCCCCAGTTTAAAAGCTCACTTGCAAATTCCTTGATTCGAAGTGCCATCACTTAGGTTTTCTCAAACTCTATATAGAAACGTAAATGAGTAGCATAGTTCACTAGATTAGATCTTTAGAACAAAAGAGGACCTAGCAGCTATACTATACATATTTGAGGATTTTTACTTTTCATTAACTCTTGTTTGATCCTCTCGGCTAAGTTCCCGTTAGCAGATGAGAGCATTTGGTGTGCTCCCTCAGCATTTTTGCTGGATTTATTTCATCTGAAAAGAATTTAGTTCTTGCAAGGCAAACCAAAGCCTATTAAATGGGAATGATCAAGAGATTCACTTGAAAAACATGCTCCTGATCCAAACTGGAAGGGTAATGTACCTTTATGGTTCAGATGAAGGCCATCCATCTTAGGTTCTTTTTATTCTGTAAGTATCCCCAGTTCCTGATGAATCTGAAACTTTCTTGTCACAATCTTTTCAGACAGGTATCTAAGTTCTGTGTCTCTACCTTTCTTCTTGGACCTGCATCAGTACTAGCAGAGTTTCAGAGAGTTAAACATTTAATACTTGTCTTAAAGTAGTGATAATATTTACTGCAAATATATCGTTTATGTGAAAGGGGCTTAGAACTTCAGCATTACAATTGTTAATATTTCTATCGATTGTGACTAGGGGAAAAAAAATTGAGCACATTTTGCCTAGAATAGGGCTCTATCTCATTTGTGCAATATTAAAAAATATATGGCAATTTAATAATAAAATATTAAAATTGATAGGATTGTAAGTGCAATAACGATGAGGAGTGTTCATGTTACTCTAAAGCTCAGATATCCAACTTCTGCAAGAGGTGTTTGGGATCAGGATTGCGATCCAAAATGAGAAGTGAGGTAACTGCTATTACTACATCTTAGCTAGGGATCCCTATTTGCCACTAAAATTGAAGACAAAAGAAAATGTGTAGTCTGAGTGTAATTTTTATCCTGATTTTAGAATAGAAATAAATTGTGTAAAACACAGTGCCACAAGTTCTTGTTTTCTTTTTAAGAATGTATCATTGTCTGTAAAAACTTGTTTTCCAAATTAGCCATAGCCAGCGAGTGTGCTCCCTCACGTGGGCTGTGTAGGTGTACAAAGATCAGCAAATCTAAGTACAGGATTATAAGTAGTATATGAAGGTCAGAAGCTGAAGATCTAAGAGCTGTTCTTCACCTACTAAGCAAAGACTATAACCTGGTTGGAGCAGTGTTGAATCTAGCCTGCAGATTGGAGACAGCCTGCGTAAAACTCACAAGCCATCGTTCGGCACGCTGCTGGGTCAACCCTAATGGTATCGGGAAACTACACCTACATTCTAGTTCTGAGATTGCACTATCCTTGCAATTAAACTGGGTGGAGTAGGCAAGCGTTTGCTTGTAATGTTCTACTATTCATGCAATAAACATCTTTCTCAAGCTTGTAAATCTAAAACTACTATTTTCATGTTTTTGTACAGATAATTGATTACGAGAAGAACCAAACGCTAGGACAAAATGATACTGGATTTAGTTGTGATGGAACAGCCAGTACATTCAGAGTTATGTTCAAAGAACCTATAGAGATTTTGCCAACGGTTTGCTACACAGCTTGTGCAACGTTGAAAGTAAGGATGCCTAACGGTGTAGAAGAAAATGTTATTTTGATGCAAGAGTTGGGTTTTTGTCTGTCTTCTGATGGGAAAGTGTCTTCTAGATCTTGAATTTATTTCCAGTTTAGTGCTAAAGAAAGACGTAGCTAAACTCCAGAGTAACTTTTAAGACTGCTACCTCTCTTACGTGCCACAGCACAGAATTCATAACCGGACCCTTTGTGCCTTCCTACTTCCTGGCTTGATGTAAGAGTTAGAATGAATCCTAGTGGAAGTCACTGGTTCTGTGTGGGCAAAAGCACTATCTAGAATATTCAATCTGGCAGCTGTCTTTCAAAATTTAAGTTTGGTTTCTTTTATCAAGGATATTCTAATCACTAGCTAGAGCTAGAGTCAAGAAAACTGAAAGCTTTTTTATCACTTTTTATATACTAATGCTGAAATATAGGAAAGAAGCATTTGTTCTAGGAACCAATGTTATGGACAAATTTATTCAATGTTTTCTCAAAAATCTTTTGATATTCTTTAAATATAATTCCCTATACAAAAATCAAAGTTGATTGGGTTGGAAAAAAATGTTACACATTAAAAGAAGCTGAGACAGGGAACTAAGTGCGAATATAGACAACCTGTATGACAAGGAGAAATTCTGGAAAATATTTATTCATTTCTAGTTGGATAAAATCAAGTGGTTTAAGTCTTCTGTCAGATAAACTCTTTTTTGTTATTTAGACATGGGACACTTGCTTCTGTTGTCTGTGATTTGGTGTATAACTTATATGATGTGGGTAAAGAAATTTTATACTATTTAAAAAACGTAAGGTCATTAGTGTTTGAACTTCAACATTTTACGGGTCTTGCTGCCCACTTCCATTCAAATGCTAATCTCTTTGGATGTTTTTCAGGGTCCCGATTCCCACTATGGAACAAAGGGTTTGAAGAAAGTGATTCATGAATCTCCTACTGCTAGCAAAACATGCTTTGTCTTTTATAGTTCGCCAGGTAACAACAATGGTACATCAATAGAAGATGGACAGATACCAGAAATAATATTTTATACATAATTTCACATGATCATCTCGAATGTGTCAGTGTATCGGTGGACTTCAGCTCACTATTGGCGGCGGTTAAAAAATTCTGTGAAATTACATGAATGTGTGAAAACTTGTTTAAGAGGTACCAGAAAAGCTATTTTCTCTGCATCGCTATTGGCAGAATGTAATACAGCTTTTCCTTTTAACAAAAGGGCAGGTGGAATAAGTATTCTGTATATTGAAAAGATTGCTTTAAATTGTAACTTGTGATTAATTGCTTTGTATTTTCACCCCTTCATTTCTCATGTAGTAAAATTCATTTTTTGAACTGGAAAATCCTTACTCATTATGAACTTCTTGTGTATGCCTGTCCTGAAAAGACAGTAAAGCCGCTGCTGTAGTCCCAGTTTACTCTTCTTTCCAACAGGCCCTCTTGCTACTGTATTTTTTTGAAGTACATCAGCACAGCTGGATTCATATTGCTATCGTCTTGACTTTTTGGATGAGCCGGGGAGAATTAATGAACTTAGCATCTGCAGCTGCACTAAGGACATACTAAGTCTAATTCAGCAATAAACCAATCTTTCCAGAATCTCTCTTAAATGAGAAGGGCTGTTTTGGAACATAGAGCTGGTTATGGAAATAGCCATTGTATATACATATGTGCCTATAAGAAAATGTATAATGTGAAAATAAGAATACAAGCCTTGTAATGATGTTATTTTATCACTGGACATTCTAATACTAAAACAATTAGTTGCAGACAAATAATACTTAGTTCATGCTCATTTCAAAGATTGCGTACAATAATTTGACACAATTGATGTATGTATATAGCATTCAGTGTCTTGCAATGTGTACCAAGTAGTAGCAGAATGTCTTCATGTACAAAATCCTGTATACTAAAGTAATAATTTGAGAACACGGGAGAGAAAAAGAAAAACGCAACTATCTCCTCTTTTCTCTTTCCTAATTTCTCTTTAACCGCTTGCTCCAGGGACGGCCTTTACCCCACCCCGTGTGGCAGAGCCCCCGGGCGGCGCCGCCCTCGCACGGCTGTGTGCTCCGGCAGCCTGCCGCCACCCGGGGGTGCCGTGAGAG